ACTTTTTATATCTGATTTTGTTATAATGTGCTTACATATTCCAGCCTGGACCCGATCAAGAATGTTGAGGCCCCAGCTCCCATTAACTCAGCCTCCCTCCACCCTGACAAGGACTTCTTTGTTGCCGGTGGAGAAGACTTCAAGCTCTACAAATTTGACTACAGCTCCAAGGAAGAACTTGGTGAGACACAAAGCTTTTTCTCAAGACGCTGGATCATCGTATATGGTCTCGCTCAGGAATTTGAATAGTTGTAGCTGTGTTGGCAGGATGAGGCAGGATACCTCCTATAAAGAGGAATTGTTTGCTGGTTAGAGTGATTAATGTGGAGCTATTGTATCATTTCAGAAATTCTACACTAATGATTTTTTTTTAATTGGGCTGGCAGACACTGTAAGAGAACATACAAACTACAAATTGCTCTAGATCAGTGACGCCAGCTTTAGGAATTAATGTCTTGCTTTCAGTGTGTACAGGGGGAGCTTTTTTTAAATTGGCAGAAAACGTGTTCGATATCCAAAGAAAAAGTTCTACGATTTATTCCTGGACAGATTTTATGGTCCATTTAATGCCCATTTTGAAAAAGAACCAACAGTTCCCTTAAGTTCAATCAAGCTAAAATATTTTTAAAAAAAGGTTCCAAATCCATTAATTATTTTCGCAGGGCAAAAACCACCCTATCCTGCAATCTTAAAGAAAGTGATGAAAACGTCCTATCCTTCCACAAAGTTTTGTGAAAATTATTTCAGTAGTAACAAATAGACAGAGGCAAAAACAAAACCTTGGCTGAGGTAATTTAAAAGTCTCATGTCAATCATAAAAAGTGTGCAAAAACTAAGAAAAGCACACCTGTAACCCCTTTTTCCGATTTTGTTGCTGCTTCTCTTGTGTGCAGAGTCCTATAAGGGTCACTTTGGTCCAGTCCACTGTGTGCGGTTCAGTCCAGATGGTGAGCTGTACGCTAGTGGCTCTGAAGACGGAACTCTTCGACTGTGGCAGACGGCGGTGGGGAAAACCTACGGCTTGTGGAAGTGCGTCCTCCCTGGTAATGCTCCGGCTTTTAGCACCGATTTATGTACATCGTCGCTGCTGCTCCCGCAATCTGGATATAGGACAGTATCGTTTTTTAAAAGGAGAAATGTTACTGATACTAAAAAGCAGAACATTAATATAAAAAGAAACCACATTCAGTGCTTTCAGAAAGTATGTGGTTCCCTTCAAATTTTTCATTGTTTATGTTGTAAATACCCTCTAATGACGAAGTGAAAATATAATTAAGAAATCTTTGCAGATGTATGAAAAGCTGAAATGTCCTTTTTAATTTGTCATTATAGAGTTTTGAGTCAAGATTGACCAGAAACTAAATTGCTTGTGTATTGGTTAATAATAATAATCATCAATCATCAAAAAGTAATGTTTCAGAAACGAGTGAACTCTCCTGGAAGTTGTAAAACTTGATTCAAGCTCTTGCGATGATTTAAGGGCTATTGGTCAGCATAAGAGTCTCTTGAACTATTACACTCCAGCTGTTTTCAGACATGCACTGAACTCCCACGATCCTCTACAGACTCTTCGGAGGAGGTGTATGTGTAAACGCAAATGTCAGAGCTTCAAGAGTTTCTGTGGATTTCCCCCCCCCACTATATAGTCTGGAGGAGGTGACGTTAGAACACAGCAGGAGACCCTCTCGTGGATAAACAGCCCGTGAGTGTGAGGGTTAATGGTGCTTTTAACGTGTGACAGACACAAAAATTTAAAAATACTAAAAGCTCTGGGTTAAAAGTAGAGCCACGCACATAGAAGACACGGTTTAAGATGTCAAGAGAGTTTGTGTTGATAAGAACCGACGCCAGTGTCAAAAAGCTGTAAACAAAGTCAGGTGATCTCCGCAGTGGAATTAATACTTTACGTCCTGTCTCTGCCTGCTGCACCACCCTTCACCTGAATCCTGTAGAGAATTTGTTGCTGTTGTGAATGCGTCTTAGCAGAAAATCGCCCTCTGCGTTGTGCACGCATGAAAGACAAACTAGAGTCCGGACCCAATTCTCCAGATACCCTCCGCAGGTCTTGTCTAAATACTGCTTCAAACTAGAGTTAAGTGGTGCTGCACAATGGGTCTGGTTCAGACCTGCTAAGTAGGGGAGTGGACACACCCAAGATACATTGAAGACTCATTTAAGATCTTATCACTCAGACCACAGTCAGAGGTGGTCTGAGATGCATGTGGTCACATATCAGACTCGATAAAAACATCAGTTGGTCTTTGTGAACAGAAATGATGTACGTGTGTATTTTACATATAGAGGAGGGAAGTGAAATCTGATCACAAGTGGTCATTGGGAACAAGTTCTAATGCCGGGTGTGACCTGATGTACTCAGAGCTGTCCACTTGTGATTGTATCACTAGAGGTGGATGTTAGTAGCAGGTCTGAATGGGGCCTTTGAATCAGTTTCACACTAAATGCTCACAACAGAAATGCCACGATACGAGATTTATTTACCTGGACTAGACAGGTACAAAGTATTAGCAAATCTATATTATTAAGTCTAGAGACAGTAGCCAAAATGAATTCAAAGTGTAGTAACCCAAATAACAACCCACAAACGTAATTCAAATCTGCAGCTTTGAATGTAATAATCCCTTAAACGCAATAAATTTCCCTACAAGGGAGAGAGGATAGTTAATGCACAGCCTGATTATGTAATAGCTATTTCATTTGCAGGAAGTTCTGCTGTGACATGATCAGGTTTTCTTCTCTGACTTAAAGTTTCTCCTGAGCCACAAACACTGAGTTTACCTCCTCATGACAAATTAATTTAATCTTGTGTGTACAATCAGGAGTTAAGTGTGTGTCTGTGAGAGTCCAACACATAACCTGTTTTTAAAATAAGTAATAAATACACAACATACCATTTGTGTGATCCAGTGTTTTCTCAATCATAATTCTTTTCTATCACGTTGCAAATTGTCACAAAATGTGACATGACTGTTGACGTTGTACGGATAAAAAGACTAAAAGATTTATGATGCAGGATTGAAGAGGTTGTGGCTCAGGCGTCGTCCTCTAACCCGAAGGTCGGCAGTTTGATCCCAGTCTTCCATAGTTTGCAGGCCAAAGTGTCCTTTGGCAAGATACCGAAACAAAAACTGGAAGAAAAAAAGTGCTGCACAGAAGCACTGTATGTATGTGAAAGTGAAACTATACTGTAAAGCACTTTGAGTGGTCATCAGGTTTAGAAAAGCTCTATATAAATACAGACCATTTAGGTGGCAGCTGCAGAACGTATAGTGTGTGTTATGTGTCAGATTGCAATTTATCTAAGAATTAGTATGATTTATTTTTCCTAATTCTTTCTGTTCTGTTGCTTCCTCAGAGGACCTGGGGGCAGAGAACTCTGAGCAGCTTTACACACAACCTCCTGAGATCAAAGCTTGAGGAGCAAGCAGTATTGTTTGGAAACGGGATGAGAAGAGGAAAGGAGACGAACCGAGAGGTGTTCCAGTGTGTTCTATCAGGCCCCAGCGAGGAGCAGAGTCTAGAACATCTCCATCCATCAGGAACTGATGTGGATATTATGACTGCCCCGTCTGTCAGACCAGCCATCTCTCGCGCACACACACACACACACACACACACTGATTTTATGCAGTCATATGGACAGTATGGGTTGGAGAGTAAAGCAGTAGATCTGTGAATGTCTCTCGTTCATCGCTGCCTGCTTTCTCTCTGGTCAGCCCAGTTCTGTCCGTCTAAACTTATTTTTACTTCTCTTTACCCTCAAACCCTGAATTCCCCCCAAACGACATGATTTAAGATCGATTTTGGTTCCAAAATTAAAGAAATTAACGAACTGAACCAAGGCCTTTGTTTTCAGTTCATAGTTACAAGAATACTGGCGATAGATGCACAGTGTGTGCTAAAAGGTGCTTTCATTTCTTCGAAAACCTTGCTTTGAGTATTCGCTGCTGTTGTACTGGTTAAGTATGTAATATTTAGTGTCCAAATAAAAGAGAATACTGTTAAGTGACAAAGTGGAAAGGGATTAATTGTCATTGAATTTTTTTTCCCCCTTTTTGGGTTCTGTCTTCATTTGTGTCCAGTGATGAAATAAACCAGTGCATTACTGTTTCATTTGTAAGTAATGCAAGAGCAAAGTGGCTTTGGTGTTGTTTTGTGGCCCTTTATAAAAATCTTTAATACACACACACAAGTAAGGACAAACATTGTACAGCTAAATAAAATATGTGACATGTAGCAATTAAATCAACAACATTAAGCACAGACAAAATTGAAATTAACTGATAATGGATGATAATATAAATAGAATATAAGAAATATAAAAACATCATATATAATATAAATGAATACTATAGGAAATTCAAGCATAATATACAATATAAATTATATATACTGATAATATAGATCATATAAACAAGATACTTCATAATATGGATGATAATATATACAGATAATATATAGTATATATAATAACAAACAGATAATTTATAGTAATATACAGATAATCTATAATATAAGAAATGTAAACTGATTATATATAATATAAGACATGTAAACAGATAATGTATAGAATATATAATAACATAAAGAGATTATCTATAATAAAATACAGATAATCTATAATATAAGAAATGAAAACAGATAATATATAGTATATATAATAACAAACAGATTATCTATAATAATATACAGATAATCTATAATATAAGGAATGTAAACCGATAATATATAATATAAGACATGTGAACAGATAATGTATAGAATATATAATAACATAAAGAGATTATCTATAATAAAATACAGATAATCTGTAAGGTAATGAATGTAAACAGATAATATATAGTATATATAATAACACAAACACGTCATCGATAATAATATAAACAGATATGGTGACGACATCGTGCACATCGGTATTGGTTGGAGTGCGGCGTCACGAGCACGTGACGTGCAGTTCCTTTTCAATAGTAGCCAGCATGCGTGTCCAACCAATGAGCGAGCGTCTTCTATCAGCGGCTGGCCAATAGGAGCCGGTCTTTACAGGGAGCCACTTCCGGCCAAGTCATCCCAGTGAGAGTCCACGCTCTTCTTTCTCCATCACAAACTCATCCAGCGAGCTGCTCCTCCACTTCTGACCCCGCCGTGCTGCGCTGTGCTCCGCGGCAGGACGGAGAGACACCCGCGCTGCTTTAGCTCCTTGTTCCTCGTTTAGTTCTTTCTTTCAAACAGTCTCCCCTGGTTTCATTTTCCTTACGAGCCGAGTCCAGCAAGAGGCGCTGGTTAGTCGCCGAGCGTCCACCTCCCGCTCGGCTCTACCTCCCGGTGTTAAGCTAGCTAACGCACCCGCGGCCGCCAGACCCCTCCAAGTCCCTCCATCCGCGCGCCGACATGCCGGTGTACCTGGAGGACCCGTCTGTGCTCACCAAGGACAAGCTGAAGAGCGAGCTGCTGGCCCACAGCGTGGAGCTGCCGGGCGGCAACCCCACCAAGGACGTGTACGTGCAGCTGTACCTGAAGAACCTCACCGCCCAGAACGAGAAGCATGTCGCGGACACGACGTGGGACGCGTTCTCCAGCGACGAGGAGCTGCCGCCGCCCGTGGTCTCTAGCAGAAGTCGCTCCTCCGGCAGAGTGAGTTTCAGTTTCGCGTTTACTCCGTGTTTCCCCCAAGCAGGCGCCCGCGCAGCACGAGGAAGCATTGTTGGCTAAAGTTTCTGGATCTGACTCAGGCGCAGTGAAATAGTTTCGCTCGGTGCACAACAATCGTGCGTTTTACCACGTTGGAAATAAACACACTTGACTTCCGCATGCGACTACTCATCAAGTGATCGCTTTTAGTTGAATCGATTAGCAACGTGGTGTCATAACTTTCCAAAAATACTAACTTGTGATTGTGTCAGAAGTTAGCACAAGTTTTACAACTTTATATTTGATTAACCTGCAAATAAACCTCAACTAATCAATCCACTAAATGTCCCACTCAGTGTGATCTGTGCCACACACATCAGCCTCCACATGTTTTTTTTTTTACTTGAGGTCCACACCCAAAAATAGTTGCTGTGGCTTCCTGTGCCAAAGCTGTGGACGGAGCTGGTCACCGATGATTTTGTCCAGAGGGTTGGCTTGTTAATAACTTTTTTCTTAGGGCCTGTTCTTTTCCCCCGGTGGCCCCTTGAGTTTTTACATTCATTGCAATGAAAAAAAAAAAGCACATGAGTGAATCTGTGGCAGAACCCTGATCAGATTCACAAGTTTCAGCCCACCCCTCTTCCAAATAGCCTCAAACTTCACCACAGCTCTAACATGCAGGAGCATTGTCTTCACTGTTGTTGGTAACAACAATTCTACAGCATCCATGTGTATGCACTGATCACTACAGGTTTAGGTTATTGTCTGCAGGCTACACTGGGTGGGGTGTCCCTCCCCTGATACTCAATCATGTACTTTGGTGTGATAATTTAATCAGCCTGTGTTTCCAGTGGACAAAGAGAAACACTGCTTTACCTGTTGTTACATGAAGTGAAATTCCGCCCACGCTCAGATAATAAAAAACGCTGTTAAATAATCAAGATAGGAGCCTGTTGTTTTAGAATGAACGTAGCAGAGGAGTGCTTTGAGATTGTTTTGGAGTTTCAGCGTTGGGCGCAGGGTGTCACTTTCCCAGCATTCCTCGGTTCTTTTAAAGGCAATAATCCCACTGCAGCCGGTGACTGGCTGCATTCTTCGCAGCCCTCAAACAGGAGCAAGGATTTCCCCTGAAGCCCGACTTCTTACCGCTGCTGACTTTGTGAACTGCAACCATAGTTGGTTCCACGTAATCCTAACATGCTAATAGTCTCATAATATCTCATTAGACCAAAGGATTTGTATCAGAGAGAAAGTTTAGTTGGTAGTTGATCTTTTTTCCCCCTTGATAAAATACTAATAAATTGGAATTGGTCTTCAGTGGTTTTTTATGACACATTTGCTGTTACAGATATTTCAATATTCTATAAGTTGATTTATTTGTTCATTCGATGCATAATTTGCCTTCATTTAGATTTTATTGTATTTCTATTTATTTCAGCAGTGGCTCAGGAAGTCATCCTTCATAGGTTGGTGGTTCAACTCCAAGCTCCTCCAGTGGACATGCTTGAGTGTCCCTGTGAAAGATACTGAATCCCAAATTTCCCCCTAATGTCTGTGGTGGCATTGCAGATCTGCAGAGCGTTTTGAGGAGTAGATAAGACTCGAGAAAGTATATAAATACAGAGCGTTTACTATTTATACTTTTTCTTCAGTGTTGTATCATTTATTTGTCACTATAGGCTGGATTTATGCCGGTTAAACGCACACACTGGTTTGATAATGTGAACTGTGTATCTGTACCTGTTCCTCAGTGTTTAATGAGACGAGAACTCAAACAGGTGTGCAGCAGGACGCGTCTGTTCTTGCGTGTACACAGCGACTTAATGAAGGGCGCGAGCAAAACAAAGGTGGTGACTGAGAAATAACGTGTCCGACATGTGGGCGTTGAGTTGTGTGTTTGTCTCATTCATTTACTGTTGCTTGGTGTGCAGAAGCTATGTGCACCTTTTCTGTGCTGCATCCTTTTGTCACATGTTCTTTGCTCAGTTGTGGATTTCTTGCATAGCAAAGTTAGCCTCACTGTTTAATAAAGCGTCAGCAGCTCTGTGTGTTTTGAGGTGTGGGCGGCGAGAGACGATCAATCTTTCACGAGTTCTCCGATGACGATAATTTATCGCTGGGTGATGTTGTTTATTGTTGGACATCACTCGGCAGACAAATCTCACCAGTTGATGTCAGGTGTGTGCGTGCATGCATGCATGTTTGGTTTCACATGCAAATGCACCTTTGAATCTTTCAACTGTGAAGCATATGATATGACAGAGATCTGGTAAAGATGTCATAAGAGGAATGTTAAGAGGTGGTGCTTAAAGAGCAATACAATTGAAGTCAACTCTGACCCCTTCTTCCGACGTTATAAAACAGAAAAAACATAACGTGCCTCCATGCTGCTCGTGTGCATCACCACTTCCGGTTACTGAGTTTTAAAGTCTTAAAACGGCTGTAAACAATGTCATTTCTAGTCAAATATGAACGACATTTTTCAGTGAACTATTCCTTTTTAAATGTTCAGTAAACAGACTGTGTATTTGACACATTGAAATAACTCAGACTGTAGACACAGCTTGCATTTATGTGCTTTTTGGTACAAATAGAGGAGATTGTGGTTCAAAAATGTCAAGTCTATAAGCTTAATTCATTGGTATGATATAAATCAACGTTTAGTTTAAAGAATTCCACAAGAGATATCTCATTGTATTGGACTTTTTGGGAGTTGCTGAAAATTTGGCCGTGGGTGTTTCTCTCTGTCTGGCTTTGAACTGACAGAAAACGGACATGTTTGATTTACAACCTGCAAATATGTGACCTTTGTCATTGAAGATGTCATAAATTATTTGGCTGTCTGAAGTAAATCTGCTGTACTGACAATTCTTCTTAAGCAGTTGCTTTCCTCACTGTTGACACTCTACTTAAAATATTAGACGCGCAATGTTGATTTATACATATGTTTTACTGGCTATAACCCAAAGTGAATTAGAATAGTGCTCAGAGAGTAGAGTGCACACCTCCACTAAGGCCCAACAATCCCCTTATGAATTCAAAGTCACTAGATCGGGATATTTATTTGGATCTGCATCAAATTTCATTCAAGTTTTTTCAAAACCAAGATCCAAAAATTATTCTCTGAGACATTAACAAAAGTTTTGAAAATGTGCCAATTATGCAACATTAAAGATAAAGGCAAACAATTCCTGGATCTACACAAAAACTGAATGGGTTCTTCCCTCACCGGCCAGTAGTGTTTGTGACATCCTGTGAACAGACCCAGATGACCCCTAACCTCCGATTCATTTGATCCCAGGTTGGGTCATGAATAACAGCATGTTGACGCCACTCTCCGAGCAGCGTACTTGTCGTAAATTCAAGAGTTGTATGTGTTTCTAACGTCAAACAGTGTTAACGCAAAAAGTAACAACCCACCACCTCCCAGACCATCTGTATGCCGTGCACAAGGTTTCCTCAGGAAATGGTTTTGTAGGGGAGGTGAGTTAACCAGATCCTGATGCATCTGGTCCCATGAAAAGTTTAGATGGCAGCCTGAACCAGGGGTGGGGAACAACTGGCCTCCGGGTGAGAAAATGTGATCTGTTCACCAAGAAGAAAAAAAGCAGAAGAAATGCATAAAAAAAAATACTGAAGAATCTTTACAAACTGAGGTAAATGTCAAATAGAGGGACGGGAACAGCTGTTGTGGAGCTCAGTGAAAGTGACTGCCTCTGTGATTGTCCTTGATGCTGTTCTTCATATCAGCGTCAAGCTCCAAGGTCCCAACCAGCCTTCAAATGTCAAATCCTTTTGAAGCAAAAGCAGAGCAGAGAGTACCACTTTGTATTTTCCTACTCTGCAATAACAAACACCTGCTGTGACTCCTGACATACTGTCAGTAAAAGTATAAAGGTTTCAAGACATGAAGATTAGACAAAAGGAAGTGCATTTGTTTAGTAATCTGTAACCAATTAACGTGTCCAACGACCTGCAACACAAAAATCACAGAGAGACTCTTAACTGTGCTTGCATCCAGAGGCTTTATTTGTTCTGTGGGGATGTGCACTGTTATGGAATTTTCAGAGACGCTGTCTCCTCTCCATGAGGCGCAGTGCTTCTTATCTTTCTTGTTTGGGGAAGTGCGAGAGCACTGCCATGGTCAAAGGCTGAACTCCCTAGACACCACAGATATGAGACTGCATAAGCAGGCAATACTGTCTCCAGAACTCGAAAATACGTTGACTTGTTTAGAAACCAAGCAAACAAATAGACTAAATGATCATTAGGGGTTTAAAGTGTGACCACAGGAGATCAGACTTAAGAATATGAGAGAACATCATGCGCAGCTGTTGTTTTGATGGATTCAGATTTTCTCCATGGCCAAGCTTCAAAAAATATTTCAGCACAAGACGTAAAGTGACTCCTGTACACTTTCTTCACTGATGAATTGACACTGAAAATTATTATTATTTGTGTGTCCATGTAAACAGGAATCAGTTTGTCTGCTCTGCAGTCGGTTTCAAATAAGCGGGTATATGCATCTTTTTTGTGTGTGTTTCTTTTTTTTTTTTAAATGCTAAAAAGGGCAATTGACTTACTTCAAACAGCGGAGTTGGCATTTCTGTCTTCTTCCTCCTGGTGAGTCACGTTCAAAGTCACGAAATCACCGGAAACTGAGGAGCTCTCTCAACTCGCTGTCTTACCCAAAAACATTGCTGTTGCAAGTTGTTCCCAAGATCTATTAAAAATAAAAACAATAAGTACACAAATCTTTGCTAATTATACAGCCACCCTCAGAGGCTCAGTGGGCCAGAAAAGCTGCAGTGTTTCCATCACTGCTGATCTGAGCCAGAGCCCATTTTAAAACCCGCAGAATCCTTTAACCTGGGACTGAATGCCGAGGTATCCCTTCTCTGGGTCCAAAGGGGGCTTAGGTGTTAGCATCGCCTTTAGTGGAGTCATGACTGGTGCGATCTAATCAGGAAGCAAGCACTCATCACTCCAAAAGATGCACTTTCTGTCTGTCCAGACTAGAACACAACCCTGGGGTTTTCAAAATATCAGATTTATAGGCTTGTAAATGCTCATAAACTAAGTATTGTGGATGTCACATGTAACTATGGAAGGGATGTGTTTTGCAAAGTACTTAATGTGGATGTAGCCCAAGTCTTCTCTTGCAAAGATAGAGAAAATGTAACGAGGTAAACAAATGTTGTCTGAAGTCAATGTGATAATCAGTTTCAGTTTATGGATTACACACACAGAGGAGTGTGTTTACCTGGTGAAGTGTTAGCATGTGAAAGACAGAGCTCAGCTTGTAGCGTCAGCACAGCTGCGGCGGTTATCTTGTTGGATTTGGCCTCTTCACTGAGGAAATGCTTTTCACAGAAGGAGGACTTTGTGCTCCAACCGCCTCCGTCTGTGTGTAGTAAAAAGTCTGCGGAAAGATGCTTCGTGTGTGTAATTAGTTTGTCCTTTTTGTTTTCTGTGGTATTGTAGTATTGTACGGTTTGGGTTGTTTATCTTGTGAAACATGACGCTCACATGCCAAAGTGATTATAGGCTGCTGGCAGGAGCTGCAGGTGGAGGTAGAGGTGGGGGTGCATGCAGCTCAAAAATTCATTCCTGACATTTTTGCAATCGTGAGCCGTTTTTTTTTTTCCAGGTGAACCTTATAGGTTCAAATACTTTGTGTCTTTCATGCCTGAAGTGTTTCCCTTTTCGATGTGGTGCCGTTGAGATTCAAAAGAATTAGCTGTAAAGAATGAAGAATGTGTGACACCTGAAATGTAAACAGTTGTGGTTAATCAGAGTACCTTATGACTAACCACACACACACACACACACACTGTAGTGTGTTACTCATCCAGACAGTGAGTTACATCACGCAGCCACAGGTCCTGGCACGTCCTGCTCTCAAACTACTCCATCCACGCTGCAGCGAGGGATTGTAAAGGAAAGTGTGACGGGTTGGTAGTGAGTTTACTCAACAGTGTGTGAGCTCACAGTTCAGTTATTCCTTTAAAAGCCAGGGTGTGGTCTGCAGCGGAGGGAGTATACAACTGTTTTTCCCTCCTTTTTTTTCTCCTCCTCCTCCTCTCCTCCCGGTCTGTGCAGCCCAGGCTGCTGTGATTGTGAAACACTCTGGCCCACATCCAAACCAAGCCCTGCTCCGGGGCCCACTGAGAGCCAGACAGATCGAGATAACCTCTACGTGCATCCCTCACGTTTGTTACACGCCGTGAACCGTGGCAGCACCGCGCATTCCTCGCATTTTCAGCCTCTGTCCCGTCTGTGTTCACGCTGACTAAAGTGGACGTCTGAACTGAGCTGAAACATCTGCCAGTGACGGTCCTGCATTGCTGAAGCATTTCTCTCTTTTTTTAAAAAATGCACTTAATGATCTTGCCCGTGTGACAGTTTTGCACATGTAGGCATTAATGATAAACATGCGCGAAGTTTCTGGATTTAGCAGGGAAATTAACCCTCCACGCCTTTCGTAACTTGGCAATGTGTCAACAGCTGAGTTTGTAATTTGACTGTACGTTTGTTTCAAGAAGTCAGTGTTATTTAAGTACCCAGGAGAAATTGTGAGAAGCGCAACATTCGTGTCGCCAAATTCTCTGGGACTGAATGAAACCAGGAGATCAGTGCTGATGTCCTGCCCTAACTAAAACCCAGTGATGAATCATGTGCGTCCACTTACTGTCCTGCTGTCCATCTCCACCTTTGCCCTGGTTTATATCAGGTGACCAGTTAGAGGATCTGCACGCTGAACACAGTTTAATTCTGCTCAGTCCCTCAGTCGTGTTATTTGAAAATAATGTGGTTTCAAACATGGCAGCATGTGCAACTTCTATACTCGCAGCACGCTCCAGGAAAGCAGTTCATGCACGTAAACTTGATTCACTCGGAGGCAGAGCCTTGTTCAGCTGTGAGGGAGGAGACACGAGGCTTAATTTTAAGGCAGCTGGCTTCAAACAGAGTAATTTCCTGTGGGCTGGTGTGTGAGGGGCGGCCTGTTTACTATCTGAGTATCAAACCCCTGGAATCTCTGCTTTCAAAGAGCCACTTTCTCTCTGGCTCAACTCATTTTACAAAACCGCTTGTCCCAGTCGCATGGGTTTGTGTGCTGGCGTGTGCATTTCACATGTAGCACACATCTGTCTGTAGAACCTGCATGACATGAAACAGCTGTGGTATTTTCTGCCCCTCTGCACCATTTTCTTGCATCTTTTAAATATGTTTCAAGTTCTGGTCATTGAGAGCAGTGTCATGTGTAATTGGCAGCGTATGTAAGTGTTGGAAAGCTTCACAAACACGGGTGTCCTTTGAGGGACAGAATGAACAAATGAGCTAAAGACACAAGGTGGATATGGTGGGACAAACACACGAAGGTGTGAACTGAGAAGCCACCTCCCTCCACCAGAAAAAGTCCAAGCGTGCATGTTGAGCCCTGCTAGTACATATTGAAGTGCACAAATTGAGATGTAGTTTCTTCTGTGGATATACAGTTGTCAGGCCCTGCCAAAACAACCCACACCCAGAACATACTGTCTGTCCGCTCATTCTTTTACTGTCACTATTTGCTTTTTACATTGCCTGAGGACAAAAAGAAATCCATGGCAGTTCCTGACCTGACTGATGAGTTTTGTCCATCATTATCTCACTGACCACGCTGCTCTGTTGTCCTCCCACAGAAAGCCACCAGAAAAACTGACAAGGTGCAGCCAGATGAGCTGGATGTGACCATGCTGACCGACGATGGCCTGAGGGACGCGCTGATCAAGCACGGACTGGATGTGGGGCCAATTGTGGGTGAGTGCACACGTTAGCAGAAATGCCAGCAGGGGCACATGAGAGTGAAGGCACAGACACACACACACACACACACACACACACACACACACACACACACACACACACACACAGAGGGATGTGGTGTGCTGGTGCTACACACTCCACACAGGTGATGGAATTCGCAAGTGGCTCTGACATGTGAGCTAATAGCATGCCATGTTTGACCTGAAGTGAATCCCCTAGAATATGTTAGTTGAAACTGTAACCTAGGTTTCGAGTAAAGTGTTTCTCAAGCTGCCTGCAGACGTGCACTGGAGTCTGCACTTCCCCCGTATTTTCTCCCGCTGGATTCACAGAGACCCAGTGGTGATAAGAGCCGACGATTGTGTCGGGGTGCTGTAAACAGAATCACGTGATCAACTCAGCAGAGTTAATACGTCGGTGCCTGCTCCACCTCTCACCTGAATAATGAGGCGGATTTGTTGTTGTGAACGTGTCTGTGCAGAGAACCTCCTGATGTGTTGTGCACGTGTGAAAGGCAAACTCTGCATAAACTCCAAAGCCAATTCTCTGGATATTACCTGGAGGTCATGTCTGAAATCAGCTTCACTGGAAATTCAAAAAAATGCCTTGAATGCAGTGCTGGGAGGCGCGGCTAAGATATGCCTACCACAGCCCTTCCCCCCCACCCCCACAAACGCACACATGACATTGCCAGAGCTAAGTTATCTTGCTATAAGCTACAACTCCAATAGCAGCACACACACTTATGCAATTATTGATTTGAAAACAAGTGCAGCTTTCCAGAATCCCACTCACGAGTGGCCAATAGTTTGGCCTTGCAAGGACCAAGACTGTTTGAGACACCAAGTTGTCTTCCGAACCATGTTCAAACCATTAATGTTGAATTTCTTAATACATATGGTAATAAATAAAAACTAGCTTAGCAATGGCTCGGTGGCGGTGACATTAAACACACTGGACCAACTCTGAAGTTGTACACCCACACAGCCTTATTCCATGCTTCGCTGCTCAGTGGTCACAAAAGGAGCAGTTTGTGTTGATGTCTGCATGAAGTGGATGGCGGGGTAACATTTATGAATGACACCTCCTTAACCTTGTTGACAATTAAATATTTGTGGGGAAGCATCCGCACTTCCAGTGATAAATCATTTACAAACTGATGCCATGATATGTGTGTGAAATAGGGCAAGTGTTGCTTTTTATTTTTATTTCGAGGGTGATGAGACAAACACATTTTTCCTGGGGAAATCAAGTGAGTTGGGGAGGAATGCATCTGAAGGAGCAGGTACACTTCACAACTATAACTATAGCGAATTCCTTTGGAGTCACTCTACTTCCCCTTGTGCACACAGGGTTACACACAAAAGAAGTAATTGCGGTGATGACGGAAATGACCTCAATCCCGCGGCAGGCATCACATGACTGTGGTTACTGTCGCAGCCCTTAATATGATATTGACACTAGTATTGATGTGTTTTTCATAGAAAAGTCACAGAATATAATATACACAAGTTTACAGCTCAAAAACGTGTGCAGCATTTCTTTAACAATAACACATACAGTATCATATCTATAAATAACGGTCATCATGAACAATTAAAGTCAGGGTTCACTACTGAAACCTGGTTGGAAATGGGCCCTCGGGCTACATTCTACAGTATGGAAGAGCTCTGATGTCTCTTCTGTTTTTTTGTACTCCAGAAATTAAATTTTCATATTAATAATTGCTACATAAGAGAGCTCTCTCTGTGTGAGGCACTGGGACCACACACACACACACACTCAGCTCCAAGCATCCTGGACCCACACAGAGATTTAACAAAATTATACAAACGTGATAATAATTGTGAATTGCTTTGCTCCTCATCTTTGCGTTAACAATTGTATGTAAAATGGGGATCATGTAATAGACATGCACATAGACCCTTACATAATAGTCAAGCTCATGCAATGTCAGCTTATATGACTTTTTAATGAATGTAGCTGAGTAACAGTATCTCAATGTCAGATGGACTTCAGTCAGATGTTCCAGTTACAGTGAAAGTCCTTCGTGAAAATGTTGATTATACATCCATGTAAACCACAACATCACTGTAAGTGATTCGGACTGATTTACAACCCTGAACTAACAAAGCTTAATCAGAAACATCCGAAGTGAACTACCTCATCCAGAGGAGGCTGGCCTCACCAACATCACAGCTTTGGCCTCCTTCTGTTCCTCAGTCTGAATCATAACAGACCCGTCAGGGTAGTAAACACTAGAGTGCAGTGTTTAATTTACTATGGACTGTTCTCCCCTAGCTACCACCCGTAAACTGTACGAGAAGAAACTGCAGAAGCTCCTGGACAACGGCCCCGCACAGCCACCACTGCCAGAGCTGGTCCTCGCCGAGATTCAAGTCAACCACAACGGCCACTCTGAAACCGAGCTCTACAGTGACAAGGAGGATGGTAAGAACTAGGGATGGCATCTTTGGCTTTGAATGTTTCTCCCGTTTGTATGAGAGGACCTAATCTAACTGTGCTTCACTTTTTATATTATCACTAGGTATGTTATCAAAAAGTCAAACCTATAAGAATGTCAGTATGTAAACATGGAAGTTCTTAGAATTTGCATTAAAAAAATGGGCTGACGATACAGTAGGTTTAGAGTGTGTCTGCACTTAAGTAATTTGTTCTCCATCACTATAACATGCATATCTCACCTGTGTGGTCTGTTTAATGATGGTGCGTGACGACACATGTGTTTTGTCAGAAGTGACAGCTGCACCAGAACCTGAACCTGTGGCAGAGCCTGAACCAGCACCACCAGTGGTGGAGAGACCGGTGAGGAGCCGAGGGAAGACGCCCGTCACTAGCCGCACCCGCAGCAGCCAGCACCAAACGGTAAGAAACGGCTCGGCAGTGAGTCAACTTCATACTTCTCCATATTTTAACTTCCTTTAGTCGGTGTGAAAGGTCCGCTCATCGGTTCACTCACCCTCTATGTGTGAACGTTGAATATAAGCTGCTCTGGAGCACTGATTTCTGCTGCTATTATTAGTGATATTAGTTTGTTTTGATTATTACTAATTTAACTTTTCTGCTGTTGGAGCAGTTCCTAAACTGCTGGAATATCTTTATACAGTTCTGAATGAGTGACTGACAGAAAGTAGTTGTTATGATGTAATTCTAGTGCTTTACTGCTGAGTGACTGAGGAGCTCTACTCTATTTCCTGCTTTAATGATGAGTTTGCTGCTCTCTCGGTTCTGAGACGCCTGGAATTTCACACCTTAATAGTTTCTTGTTCTACTTAAATGTTGACTGTTATTGGATATGGCAGTTACTATCGGGTGATCGCTGCAGTCTTTGAGAACAGGGGGAGGTGCATAAAAACAGCTGTTTTTGGTTTGCAGCTCTCTCTCTCTCTCTTATATAACAGCAGCTCTGATAGCAAACACACTTAACTAGTTAAAATTAGCTTTCAATATGCACAGACAGGGTTGTTTTAAACGTAATCTGTTTGTTTCTGTTTGAGCAAACTTAAAATTAACTACATTTGTGAACTTTTTTCGTGCAAGAGACAGATTTTGGAAAGAAACCAAAGTTTCACTTTCTCAGGCAGTTTTTCCACTGTTGCCCCCACCCCCCCACAAGTCTGTGTGCAGAGTGAAGCAGGTGGGAAAGACAGAAGCTGGCTTTGATTAACCAGTTTCCCCTCAAACCGACAAAGGACGCCATTTTTCCTTATTGGAGCACAGTCACACCCAGCTCAGTGTGAGTCTGTAGGTTCACTGTATCAGTGCTGCTCGGTGCATGTCAGACTCAAAGCACATGATGTGGATTAGCTGCTGCCATGCACATGCTGGATGCTTTGGACTTAGAAGCATCCAGCAGTCATTTTGTGGACTTCCCACTGACTTTTCTCCGTATCCTTCCTTCTCTTCTGCTTGTTTCTTACCTCCAGCTGTTCTTTTGCTTTTCCTCTGATATTTTGTGTCTGTGTTTCCATACAGGTGTTATTGTAATCATCAAAATCTTCATGAGGAATGCCTGGGAAATTTGCCCCTTACTAATTGTTTTACCCTTCGCCCATTTACATTTTCTTTTTTAATTGTAATCAAATATTGCGAATGGCCTCTAGCAGTGTGAAGGCTTGATCTTCAGCATGTGATGGGTGTAATCCAACAGTTTCAGATTGTGACTGAGCAGCTCCACCTGCTGTTCAAATGTTGAATGTTCACCTGTTGATTTGAGGCCTTGGGGAAGGAGAGCACATGAAAACTGGTCGGCTGCCAACAATAATGTGCTGTGGAGGAGGAACTGTGTGTGTTTTAATGTTGGGGCTCTGATTCGGACGTAGCCATAGTTCTCAATATGGCTACGTCCAGATAAATATATCTTCAATTTAAAACAAAACTTTCCAGACAAGGAATTTGGCTCCATACCAAAAATAATCTCTGACCCCAGGAACACAATTTTGAAATTGCATATCACATGACGGTATGATTTTATAAAGCGTTTCAGTTTAGGGGCTCAGAAACGCCTGAGTTGTGTTGACATCAGATATGAACTTGGCACCAATGGTGCATCACTTAAATATGTTGTTAGAAAGACGTTGATGACCAAGAAATAATAACAATTTATAAATGTGTGATACAAAACCTAGAACACAAACAAATGTACAGAAAGTCATGGTTTCTGAATATTGTCCGAAGCTAATGTAAAAGTTTTGAGCCATAGTTATCTGCTAACTACATCCTCGATGTGACGTCAACTCTCATTAAGGTCCTACTGAGACAAATGGCAGAATTTGGCCCAACTATGAATCTGTTTTAAACTGAGAAGTTATTTCTGTGTGTTTTCAATCAAACAATCCCTCTCAATAACAAGTTAATAAGAGTCCGACTTGGATTTATCAAGCTCCTCTTCTGTCTTACTTGTCAGCTTTTACTCCTGGTCTCTTGTGTCCCAGCAGATAGTGCCTGAGGATCTCAGGCCTGTTCTGAGAGAACCTGTTTATTTAGAGTATAACAGGAAAGTTTACGACAAGCCTCAGAGTCCTGCCAAGGCTGAACCTCCCTCTGCCTCGTCCGTGCGTGTAAAGGTAGCTCTAGGCCGTCGCAGGCTGTTTATACTCTCACTGATATCTGCATGATTTCACTGGTCTGTCGGTTCCAATATCTGCTCAAAAGATGAGGGCTTCCCCCTTCAGGGATACACTGACGCTCGTCATCTTGTCTCAAACTGCATCCACTGGTGGGCAGGTGTTGGTAAAATATGTACATTGTCACCAGGGCTGGTGGTGACGAATGGGTCACATTCCATTTTCTTCTTTGTCACGGTGCCATTTATTGAAAATTCTTTCAATTGCTGATGTGGCTGACTCTGTGGAACTCTGTCCCACATTGTGGACCACACACCTAAGTTCATTCAAGCAGTAAAGATGGTTACCCGAAACCCAGCTCAGGTCTGCAGAGCTCCAGGGAACCATTGCTGGATGGTGTCCTCACCTGCTCATTTCTGCTGGAATTTCATGAATTCAGAGAGATCATAGAATTTGGTGGGGCCCATAGACTGTATATAAAGATAGATAAAATATCCTGGATAGAGGTGCTGCCACCTATAGTGCTTTTAAACTCATTTGGAGCCAGAGTCTGCTCGGTAGTGATCACTGAGTGGTATCGAGGTTGCCAACATCACCCACTCTTGTTGCCTGTTTTTATATCATCAAATAAATAATTACGAACATACTTACCAGAAAATCGAACACTTGGACATGCATCTGTGTTAAGAACTGCCCTAAAATGATAGAAAACACCTTTTGAGAAAAATTCATTTAACATGTATTCTGAATTTTTAGTCTGATCCGTGTACCAACCAGTTAACATGGGGGTGGGGTTTATGACCAATGCTACAGATAGAGGGGACAATACAGATAATCTGAGCTGTCATGTCCTCCATCTTTATATGAAGTTTATGGTTAAGCCTCACAGAAGCTAATTCAAAATGGATAAGCTGACAACAAATAGTTGTGTTTGAACATTTTCCCCAAAACGTTATGAAGTGATGTGTTTCCACCTCCTGATAATTTAGAGGAGCCAGTAACTTCAAGTCACAGCTACAGACACAGTATGAGCTGTTACAGAACCAGTGTAGTAATTATGATATACCATGTGACACGAACAACTGAAAATAGTTAGTAATGATTAAAGGGTACGAGATTTAAGTCTGAATCCTGGTTCTTTTTAAACTGTGTTGGTGCATCAGGGCCAATTACTGAACCAGCATTAGGACAGTGGTATCATCCAGTAACATTTATATGACACTATTTAAAGTGTATTCTACCTTTTTTGTCTTCAATTCTTCCAAACATGTATATGTCATAATCTCATCTGTTGTGTTGAAGTCAAAGAGTCGGCCTGAGGAACGCGGTCGACAGCCAGCTGCCAACCCTTCATCTCCTCTGGTTCACCTCACCAGAGTCAACAAAGTGAACTTTAGCACCATGTGTGACATCTCCCCCATTAAGAGTCAGGAGTTCCCCTGGACTGTCTCAGACCAGACTGGATTTAAAGTCAGCGGTGTGTCTGCAGCAGGGGTACAGCTCCACTCATACGTCTGTGGTTGCCTTCCTCTCTTTTCTTCTTTCCCTCTGAATGCTGCGGTTGTCTCACAAGAGGAGCTAAAACTCTCACATTCTATACTTCATCATATATAGTTCAATTGTGTGTTTTGTGTGAGTGCAGCTGTTGAGGACTTCTGCAGGGACAGTTGTGTAACAGTTGGTTGGTGTGGTCGGACCTCCTTGACACACAGTCACTCACGTTGTTTGTGATCAGGAGGAGTGTGGCCCTCCAGACATCCAGCTGCATAAAAGGAGGCAGGAGAAAATCACCAGCTTCCTGTCCACGTGCAGCCCTATGAGGACACACAACTACACATCCACTCTGTCAGACGATGTGTTAGTGAGACAGGTAGACTGTTGCACGAGAGAGACCCTGCTCTGTTTCACGTGGTTCAGTGGTAAATGGTGGTTGGCCTAGTCCTTTTCTGTGAAGTGATCACATGGTGAGAATTGTGTATCATCAGACGAGGGGCCCTCTGCTGGTTCACACATGCACCTGTAGCGGACTGCAGTGATTTAATGGGGATCATTTTCTTTTTTCATCTGAATCCGTTAAAAGTCAATTAAAACAAGAAGAGAGATGCCTTCATGAATCAGTGGCTTTTACACTTTAATGATTGCTCATCTTTGTTTTGTGTAGGTGGAGAAGATCACAGCCAGCGACCAAAACCCAAAAGTGGAGGAGAAGGATGTTCTGAGGGAGCTGTACCCCAGTGACTTCAACAGTCCAACAGGAATCAAGTACGTGTTTTGACCTAATTAGTTCATAATTCTTTAATGTTTAGTCTGACCGGATTAAACCTCCTGGTTTTGTCTTAATCCATGCTAAGGAAAGTCATCGGTCACATCTGTTAATAAACTGAAATAAACTGCTGTAATATTACATTTAAATCATGTTCTAATGAACTGAATCAAAGCAGAACCACTGCTTCTTTTAATCTGAAACAAACGGCTCGTGTCTGGCAGGACGTATCCATGCAGCTACCAACTAACAGCTACCATGTTCACTTGCAGATGCCAGCCAGTCTAATAGGCTGAGCCACTGGGCTAACTGTCAGCTGCTAGCTGTTATTTCACTACCTTACAGTAAATAGTAAATGCTCATATTTTCAGTTTCTTACAGGTATGAACAAAATTTACGAGTGGTCCAGACCAGTTGTAGGAGTCACAATAAATGAATCTGTTATTCAAACCATGGTTCTAATGGATCATATATTTCATTAGTTTGAAGCAACTACAAATATATAAGAAAATAACACCCCATCGCTACAATTCAACTTAATTGATAAATTAAATGTATAACTGTACCTGCACATTTCCTTTCTGATTAAAAAAACAGTGCAGTCGTTTTGGGCAAGGCGCACACAGAGATGTCCGGCCGGGTCAGTCGTGGCCATTTAAATTATTTTCTGATCTTTTACCTGAAATTCACCATTTTCTCCAGATGACTGATGTTGAACTCTTTGCCTTGTGACACCTCTAGTCTACCAACAGACAAGACAGGATACACCGAGCATCATAAATGCCCTCGTACCATGGCAGAGTGCAGTAAATGTAAAGATCAGGTGGATGTTTCTTGCCAAAGCTTGTTGCTGCTCTGCACAGCGATGAGATGGCATGTCAAATAATTTGAACCTGCTGCATATTGTGTCATAATGCAATGAATGAAGGGGTTCCATTGCAGAAAACATGCCAGTACAAACATCACTTATTATTGCATGTATTTTTTTCCATCCATATCAGTGACTTTACCTTGATCTTCTCCTGTTGCAGTCATTGGCAACATATGGCATATGACATTTGGGCCAGGAATTTTAGCCTTATGCTATATTTGGCACGTTGAACATGCACATTTGCTATCCCCATGCTCACTTACTGAAATACACACAGGTGGCATTTACCGTGTATACACAGGTCATTTACACACTTTTCTGAAGATGGAAGCGTTTCTGTAATCTCCAATTGTTGGAGAAATTTAAGAATTAAAATACGAACATGTTCTTGCATGAGGTATTCTACAATGACTCTAAAATCCTCTTAAATTGATTGTTGCAGCGCCACCTGTCGGCGACCCATCCGCGGAGCTGCCGGTCGCCCGGTGAAGCCCAGTGACCTGTGGAATGACGAAAATGGCCTCTTCTCTCCAAAATTAACCAAGACCAGCAGCTCATCCTCCTACACAGAGAGCCGCACTGTCAACAGAGTCACCGGCCTGCCCCCCTCCGCCACCTCCCCCTCCTCTGCCAGGCTCCTGTCTGCAGCTCCCCCTGCAGTTCAGACCAAAGCAGTGCGCTCCGGCATGTCTCTGTGGATTAAGCTGTTCCTGCTAGCCATCGTGGCTGCCTTCCTGTTCTTGGTCTACCAGGCCATGGAGACCAACAGCATCAGCCCTTTTGTAGCCCCAGACAAAGAAGTGGCCAGTGGTAGCACAAAATAGAGAGCACAGTGTCTGATGGGAAAGAGAAGCCCATTTGCTCCTATGTTTTTCCTTTTTTTTTTTTTTTTTTTAAAGTGTGAATCTGCATTGTAGCCATTTTGTTGACGGGTGCTGTGAAGTTACCTCTGACATCATCACCCCTATGTCGTAGTTTCCTTCTTTGTTTTCCTTCATGCCGGAATCAGTTTTCATTGAATCCCTAAAGAGGCGCGACAACAGTTTCAGAGACGTTTCCAAGGATCTCCATGACATGTGAAAAGACAGTACAGCATCTGCAATTGTTATTTTGGTCCACCCATGACCCTCGACCTCACCGTCCTTGAGGTTACAACAAAGCCAGCCACCAGTCAACTTTTAGAGACACAAACACAGTAGGCATCACTAAAATATGTGGACTCACTTTTTATTACCTTGTTTTATTTCAGACTTGCAGTGTGCATGAGTGTTTGTGTGTGTGTGTGAGTGAGTGAGTGTACTGAATGTATGAGATACTCTTTTCACTCTTTGCCTTGGGTTTTGTCTCTGTTAGTCATAAAAGGCCTTGAAGATGGAATCTGAACCTGTAATGTTTTGTACTTGACCATCTTTGTTAATGAGACAGGGAGGCTTGTTATTGTAACCCAAATACTTCTAAATCTTCTCAAACATTATGCCAATATTTTCTTAATGTTCTCTTATATTAAAATTGAATGTCCCAGTGTATTCTACTTTATTATGTATCCACTGTCACAAATATTAAACATCTACTCAATAAACTATGAAGTTGTTTGTGTGCCTGAAAGAGCTTGTTATTTGTGAGCAAGCTGTTTTTGCAGTGTACTTTGTACAAGCTTCAATTGGAAAAAAACATTTCTCACATACCTGTGGTCATATGGAGCCATGCACATAGGTTACTACATCTACTTAAGAAGTTATGTTTTCATCCCTGTCTGTTGGTTGCTTTGAGAATATAGGACTAGATGGTGAATATCCCTTCTACGGGTGAAGGTCTTGTTACTACGCAAGATTACACAAAAACAATCAAACAGATTTTCACAAAACTCATTGGAAGGATGACGTATGGGTCAGGGAAGAACCCAGTTATATTTATTTCATCCTTCTGTGACATTGCCAGATCACTCATGAGGTCATTCTTTTAACCTTGCGTTGCCTGAGCAGAGCAGCCAACTCAGTTAAAGGCCCACTCCACCACGGACATGAGATTTTCTACGCTTTTGCCTTCTGGCAGACGTTTCCATCACATCATGGACAAATAAAGTTTCTACCCCACTGCCATACACGTGTATGGAACACTGCCAAATACAGATGCTGACCTCAGCCCACTTTCCACTTGACTACTTGCACTGACACAATGCTGCAATGTTTACAGTTCATATGTGCAATTTTAACAGTTTTTAACAGTGCAATACCTTCTTCCTCAAACCTCTAAGTAATAACATTAGCAAACGTAGCACTTTTCAAAAAAAAAAAAGCTTCACAGAAACAGAAAATACATGCAGTATGATTACAAATTTGAGGGCAAGACAATGCATGAGTTAAAGTATACCAAAAGCGGGGTTGAAAGAATTATGATTAGAAACAACAAAATAATGCATTTTTAAGAGTTTAAAAAAAAAGTCGTATTGTCTAAACTACACTGCAATAATCGATCTGTATGTATGTGCAATATGTGGTGTCTGCCATTTCAGGAAATTATGAGTTTTACAGGAATAATAATGTATTTATAGCAATTTCTATGCATTTTCTGTGCAGGGGCCTAAGTGATCAGCTCTTAAGGGGGGCTTCGCTCTCAGCCGCATTAGTCGGGACAATAATAGAAACAGCTTAGTCCTCTTAATGTTCCACTCTGTCATTCTGTTTCACACATTCATCCCTCTTCTACATAACACACACAGTCATTCATTCATTCATTCATTCATTTGAGGGAGAAACTCAAACTCTGCTGTGCGATGATCCCCCTCTCCAGTCCCCTGTAAGCCCCGCCTTAATCACCAACGAGGTAATGTGATTGGACCGGAGGCGTTGACTGACAAGCCCCTCGACGGAGCGGAGACGCGCACGGACCCGCCCACCACTTCCCGTTGACGTCACGAAAGGACAAACCTCTTTACCGGGAGGTCATCCGGTCTCTCCGAGCGGCCGGTCACAGCGAAGCGGAGGCGCCATCTTAAGACACGAGCAGAGTGAGTGCCATTATCATTTCAAAAACCGCACACGCGCCACACTGCGCGGCGACTCGTGCGTGAACGCCATGAGTCTATGTTGCCGTGAGTCCCGTGAAGCGGTTTAGTTTCCCGCGACGTAACGTTTTCTCCTGTGTAGAAGACGTTCCACCTTGAAGCAGCCATGCTAGCTTAGCATGCGACCTAGCATAGCATTTTAGCATCGGCGTAGAAGAAGAACAGGAGGAATGCTGCATGAATGTGTAGGGAATCGCTTGAAAGCGTTGAGCTGGTGTGTCCACGTGATTTAAGTGTGTAGGTTAACTTGTACTTGTGTTGCACATTGTCAAAGTAGCCTAGCATTCATTCAATGAGTTAGCAATTCACGTTCACGGTCATTCTGACACTGGACTAGCATAGAGCACGTGACGTCGCATCCCAAAGTTCAGGTGACTGTGTGTGTGTGTGTGTGTGTGTGATTTCGTGGGGGTGGCCAACCTCCCTCAGCTAGCACACGGCTAACTAGTTGCTCACTGCACCGCAGCTCCGCCAGCAGGCAGGACACCACCATGTACCCCACCGCGTTGACGCAGCTCGCCCGGGGCAACCCGTTCAGCGCCCCCCTGTTCAGCCTCCAGAAAGTGGAAGAGCCCCGCCAGAGCGCCCCTGGACAGACGACCCGCAGACTGGCAGCGGCCGCCACCGCAGACGGTAACCCCCGGCTAACATATGCACACAGGCAGGCTTACGGGTGCCAGAGTTAGCTGCATTAGCTTAGCTGTCAAGCCTCGGCCCTCTGAGCCCAACCCACAGTGTGTAATTCACTATAAACCAATGATTATTATATGCACATGACATGTATTAATTGCATCTAGTCATCAAGCCTTTTTCATCGTTAGGACAAATTAGCATTAGACTCTGGAGACAGTCAGCTATTAGGCCTTCACTACGCACAGTCCTGTGGAGGACAAGGAAGGACAAAGCGATGTGTTGCCCTTGCACTGCGGTGAGATTCTGTCACGTTTGTGTCAGCTCATGTTTTTAAGCGGAATTAAAACTCATCTAGCGAATCAGTGATCAGGGGATTTATCTGCAAACTTCCCCGCTACTCATGAGCTGCCCAGGGGTGACCAGGAACAAACTGTCCTAGCTTGAAACACTTTGAAAGAACATGGGGTCTCTAGTGTAAAAAAAAAAAAGTGCAGTTCTGATCTAAAAGTTGAAGCGGTATCAGTTGTTAGGTTTGCCCACCACAACTTCACCTCCATTCTGCTGGACAGTCTGTGATCAACCATTTGTTGGGGACATGTCAACATGATTTTAATTGATTATGATTGAAGTCAAATGCCAATGATATTAGCATGTGCATGAAAGCACATTTACCCATTTCAAAATGCCTTTCCTTCCCATTGGTTAAAAGTTTAGTGTAATCCTAATGGCAGTGGTACATTTTTAGTTTTAGTTACTTTGCAGTAAATCAAGTTTAGTAGTAACAGTGAGGTGTTATGTAATCTGACAACAGTTGCTGGTAGGTGGGTTAAACCACTTACCGTTGCATAGGGACACAACTGGGAAAATAAATGGTTTCCCTATTATAGCTTTTGGTTTGACATGTAGTGGGTTTGAGGGCGCATAGGTTTTGTAGATCCAGTAAGATTCTTAATACTCTAAGCCAGTTAGACATCTAAGAAACTTTCCTAAGCTGAAACTGTTTTCAAATGATACCTGTGTCTCTTCAGAGGGCAACAGTTGTGAGTTCGGCTCTCAGAAGTATCTCGTCCTGTGTGGCTTTGGTGGGATTCTGAGCTGTGGTACCACACACACAGCAGTCGTTCCCCTTGATCTGGTCAAATGCAGATTGCAGGTCTGTCGCCATGGCTCCCAGCCATTTTTAAACGTCACACCCCGCCCGTCCATAACCGTTTTTGTGTTTTTTTAATGCACCAATTTGCATGAAAGAAAATGAGCCAGCCCAGTTGTGTAATAATTTTTTTTGTCATGGTGTTTTGATTCCTGTGATTGTTATGTGTTGGAGTGATCATAACATGGTTGCATGATTTTGCACCACTGTTCTTTGTGTTCAATGGTTACTGCCCACCTTGTCAACCCCCCACCCCTCGCCTGCCCTCAGTCACAGTAGAGGACTCGTGTAGGTGAAGGTCAAGAAGGCCAGACCTGAGGGAGAGCACGTCCCGAATGTTTACTGTGCTATTTGACACCATAGGGGGTGGTCTGTATGTCAGGACTGCCTGATGTCAGACTGATTGTTCATTAATGCACTGACTGATTAACATTGTAATGTCAGGTAAGCATTTTTCATAGATTTTGATTGGTAAGAAACAGACCTCGTGATGATGAAGTAATTTTCTGTTTAAGTGCAAAAGAAATGTATTTCATCCTTACGTTTATCCCTTAACTGATTTAAACCATAGGTTTGCAGGACCACATTGATGTTTTACATTTTTAGTCAACCTGCTCATTTTTTTATTAGCAGTGGCTAAATGTAACATGGTAAACAAATCTAAACTTTTAGTATTCTTTGAAAGGATGAGGAGTAATGAATTGCTCTGGTGAACAGCCCAACATGTGAAACATCCTTGTGGTCCTTGAAAGTTCATACTGAAATCACATATGTACAATGATTTATTTTTTCTACCTGTTGGGTGTGATCATAACAAATGGTGGCATGTTAGTGGCAGAGCCATCTATAAGGGAAGAGTCCTGACACTGAATCCAAACAATCCTCAGTGACAACTTCTCCTTTATGTGGCTCTGGTTTGGTGATGATTTTTGTTTTGTGTCGCATGTGACCCTGCATGTTGCACGCATGTTGTGTGTCCCCCTCCCTTCTACCACAGAGGAAGTCAGCTGCGCATTTGGCTCCTCAAAGTACTATGCCCTGTGTGGGTTTGGGGGTATCCTGAGCTGCGGTTTAACACACACAGCAGTTGTGCCCCTCGATCTTGTCAAGTGCCGTCTGCAGGTTTGTATGGAAGCTGAACCTCACAGTAGCCACAGTCAGCAGCTCGTCACACATCTGTTACCCAGAGATGACGACATGTACACGTTTGTCAAAGCCCACTCATACTGCCGTGAATTCATTTTATGACAATTACGAAATTATAAGCATCACACATTGTAAAAGTGTATACACACTCCATATTACACAACACACAAAGACAGAACATAATCTTTTGGATTAAGCCTGAGTACAGCAATTATTTACACAATTATTTGTATCACAACATTGATTTGAATGTTATGTACAATCATTCGTCATTATACAGATTGTTTTCCGATAACCTGATATTTTAAAGTGGCAATAGACTTGTTTGCTGTTTTTTTTATGCTTTAACTCCTGAATTTAATTTTGGTTACGAATGACTTGGTCTGTAATCGCCTGCCTAGTTGGTCGATATACTCTTGACAAAAGACAAATCTCCCATTGGTGTGACAATTGCTGTGCTACCTTTTATAAAGAAGAAAATGGCTTCCAGTCTTCCTGGACTGATCAGTTCATTCCTACAGCAGGAGATGCAGACCTCCTGAGTTTTTTATGTTCAATGTTTGAGGTTGTTGGGCAATATGACTGAACC